ATATATATATATATATATATATATATATATATAGAGAGAGAGAGAGAGAGAGAGAGAGTACCACGAACCAAAATTGGGGGTTCTCGAGTTTAAAATGAATCACAGAGCGGTCCGAGGTTAGAATCCTTGGATCACTATTTTGCAGGTAACTTAAAGCGGTATGAGGATAAGGCTTCGGACTGCAGTTTAACTTTGTAAAAGAAGCAGCGTTCCAAAGATTAGAACCTCAGACCGCTTTAAACAGGAAAGGAAGCAGCGATCCGAGGATTTGAACCTCGGACTGCATAGGCAGTACCCCAATCCTGTTGCGCAGTGCCCTACCAATGGAATTGAAAAAAAGAAGAAAATTTAAAAGCAGTCCGAGGATCGAATCCTCAGATTGAATCCTCGGACTGAGAGGCAATTTCGTTAAAAAAAAGAGAGGTCATGTTGACCGACCTTAGATGAAATATATGCATACAAGGAGAGCACATCGTATTACGTAATTAACTCTTTGATTTAAAACATTTATGCTAGATCTTCATCTTGTTATTTTCTGAGCTTTTCAAAACATCTATGATCCTTAGGCAATTTATATACAATTTTAAAGTAAAGTTAATAAATAAAGGATACGGTTTGTATAGAGCTGAGGTTCTAACCAATCAAAGTAAAGCATACCTTCAAATAGTGTCGAGAAATATGGTTTCAATACTGGAAATCTTTGTGATAGCCTTAAAATATATTTTCATATTTAATTATAAAATTTAAAGCTTAAAATATAGTATAGATCGAGTAGATCCATGAAAACTTGAAAATCTTAAAAATTGACGATCCAAAAATACGTTTCATGATGCACTATTTTCAAAACTTGAAATCCATTTTTTTCTCATTTCCATGCATCTTGATGTCGAGATGATCGACTTGAGGATATTTGGGCACCTAAACAACCTTCTAGTGAAATTTTTGAGGTGGGCTCTAATTTGATTGTTTAGAGCCTCAACTCTATATAAACTTTTTCCATAAATAAATGATACTTCTAAATAGGTTTATTTGTATAATATTATCGATATGATACATTTACTAATTGAATTACACAGAACCTACCTATTAGAGATGGGTGCAGTTTGTATAGAGCCTAGGCTCTAAACAATCAAATTAGAGCCTACCTTTAAATAATGTAGAGAAATGCGGTTTCAATACTGGAAACCTTTGTGATAGGTTTAAAATATATTTTCATCTTTATTTATAAAGTTTAAAGCTTAAAAATTAATGCAGATCGATAGATCTATGACAACTTGAAAATCTTGAAAATTGACGATCCAAAAATGGGTTGCAAAATACAATATTTCCAAAACTTGAAATCCATTTTTTCTTATGTCGATGCATCTTCATGTCGAGATGATCAATTTGAGGATATTTGAGCATTAAAACAATCTCTTCTAGTGAAACTTTTCAGGTAGGCTCTAACTTGATTGTTGTTTTGAGCCTCAGCTCTATATAAACTTTTCCCATTAGGGATATATTGTCCATATCATTTTCATGGTTCCCGTATGTGGGTAACTGAATTTATTTCTACTCATATTAGTATATCTACATGGAACAAAAAAAATGCAGTCAAATACCCCAAAAAATGAAGGGGTTCTTTCTCTCGCTTTATGTATAATACATAAATAAATAATAATAATAGATAATAGATAGATAGATAGCGTTTTAGTTTATTTACATATTGATTAAGCATAAAGTTGAATTTGCATGTGCAGGATGAGATGTTCTACTATAAATATGAATTTAGAATCTCAAAGTAGTAAAGTTCAGAGAAACAGAGTAGAAAGTTTTGAGAAAATAAGAACTTGTGAGAGGTACTAGGTTATCATTTTGTAAAAACATCACATCTTGTTTGAAAAGAATCCAGATTATCTGAAGTGTTTTAGCACCCTTCTCTCAAAATAGAGAGTAAACGACATATATGGTTTCAACAGTTGCCAAGGCTGCATTTTACATATGGGAAGAAACAAAAACCAAAGCAAAATCTGGAACAAAAGCTTCTTACTTTTTACGCATTCCATGGGGAAACCACAAAAAGTAATGGCTTTCTGTTGCTTCTTCTTGTCATTTTCTCACTCATTTTTCTTTCGAGTTTGTGTCATTTCTCACTCCTGCCCTTTACTGTAACTTATATAAATAACGATGGAAACACAGTATCGAGTCACATATGGACTCCACAGCAATGGAGAGGAACGTATTGGTGGTATCACTTTTCCTTCTGCTCCCCACCCCATTTGCGTTCGCTGGCCAAATTCCGGCGATATTCACCTTCGGAAACTCCTTATTTGATGCTGGAAACAACCATTTCAACAAGAATTGCAGCATCCAAGCTGATTTCCCGCCTTATGGTCGGAACTTCTTCCACCACCCCACCGGAAGATTCACAAATGGCAGAACCATCGCTGACTTCATATGTAAGTCCTCGTAAAACTTGTAGGCATTTTTTTTGCTTTGTGAAGTGATGAAAAAAAAAAAAAGCAATTGCAAATACCCAAACCTATCATCTTTTAAGGTCAAAATATGGTACTAGAGAGTATTTCTTAAGTCGTCGTAATATTCACTAATTATCTCAAAAGATGCATGAATTGTTAAACAATTAAATAAATTTTTTTTTTTAAAAAAGGATAAAAAAAAAAATGTTCAAATTGCAAGATGGGCATCTTTATCTTGATATATTCTATTGGCCATGCTCGAACTATTATCAATAAGTTATTGTGAACATGCAGCGTAGCTCAATGTTCACAATAGCCAACACCTATGTTTTAGGGTAATGGATTGATTTATTTTATGAGCAACCAAGATATGACATATTCACCATCTCCCATGTACATGTGTTACAAATTTTGAAAAATATTCGAGTAGTTTTACGGCTATAGGTAAGGTACTCACACCCAACATGCACCGTCTATAAAAGTATAACAACATTGGATGATGACTTGTTCCTCACTTGTTAAGCCCATTTGTTAAAGTGTGGATATTGGATGTGAGTACCTGCATTCTATATTTGTATATAATATCCAGTTTCATGATTTTTGTACGTGCATACGCGTTTATGTGCATGCACATGCCACACGCACCACTATAGATGGGGACCATATTAAAAACCATTCAGTTTGCAATATATCAAAAGATTTTGATGTTTTGTACCATCTTTTGCAAAACATTTTTGGGTTGAGATAATTCATATTGGTGATTGGGAAATGTATTTTTGCTTGAGACCTTATTTTATTTCATGATAATTACCCTATTGTTTCATAGTGGTTTGGAAAGTGCAAGGTTTTGAAAATTGTATTTTTATTTTATTTATAGAGAGAGAAGTACATGGTTTTTTATCCCAAATTGAAGATGCGAAACAAGGAAATCTTGTTTAAATATGTAGACATCTTTTTCACTTATGTTCTAAGAACCAAATAAGACCTATGTGGAATATACACAGTGTGCAAATGCACACGTGAGGGCGATGGCGTTTGATGGCACAAGGATTAGGTGTGCTATGGTGAATAGTAATCCCCCTGTGAAAACACACATGTAGTGTCTTATGGTGGATTGGTGTGCTCTATCAATAAGGAGAAAATATTGTATTGAGAAAGCATTATACGGCTATGACAAGAGCGATTGAAACATCCTTTGTTTTTTATATTCTTTATTTTGACCCGTTTCACCCTCTGATTCCAACAAGAAATACCTCGTAGCTTAAGTCGTTGGGCCAAGCTGGGCCTAACTACTATTTTGTTAAACAAGTCATGCCTGGGCTTTAGCTTGTCTAGTACATAGTTATCGGGAGTGCCCCATTAGGGGGTTGTTCGGGGTTTCTCTGGAGATGGTCTATATATTAGACAATGAGGTCTAGAATAAACTAGATCGAGATTTGTGTTAGAGTGGGGACGGGCATGCTTTTGTAATAAGGTTGGGATCTCGATGAGAACCTTAATGTGTAGGGAGTGCAGTCCAATCCAGATGGAAGTGCGATCCCATGGATCCCATATGGGAGCGTCATCATTTTTTGTCCAGAATTTGGTTTTGTTCTTGATACCGTCACCGGAATACACTCCCTAAGAGCCGGAGCTTCGATCATCCATTAGTCCCACGCTCCTGTTCCTGACCCCAGAGCCGCTCTCGCTCCGGCCCCTGGGTAACTATGCTTTAGTATACTACATTATGTATATAGCTATGAAGTACTATAACATTGATATGTATATTCAAGAAAAATGAATATGCCAGATAAGTATGGTCCATATTCGGCTTGTTTATGGCTTGACTCAGTTTGTTTATCGGCTTCTTTAAGTAAATATGTCAAGCTAAGCCAAGCCCAAGCCCACTTTTCCTTTTTCCTTAACCAGTTCAAATTCAAGGTTGGTGCTTGAGGCTTGAGTCAAGCTCAAGCTGAGCTCATGTTTGTCTTCCACCCATGCAAGTCAAGCTTGAATAGGTCTGACCTCAGTTGATTTGTTTCGTGGATATCCGTATATGTTTGTCATCATTTATCAATGGTAAAAACAAAATAACTTACTTTAAAAAAGGGTGCGGTTTGTATAGAGCCGAGGCTCTAAACAATCAAATTAGAGCCTACCTTCAAATAGTATTGAGAAATGTGGTTTCAATATTGGAAATCTTTGTGATCGCCTTAAATTATGTTTTCATCTTTAATTATAAAATTGAAAGCTTAAAAAATAATGTAGATCGAGTAGATCTATGAACATTTGAAAATCTTGAAAATTGACAGTCCAAAATGTGTTACAAGATGCACTATTTTCAAAACTTGAAATCCATTTTTTTCTCATGTCCATGCATCTTGATGTGGAGATGATCAATTTGAAGATATTTGGGCATCAAAACAACCTGTTCTAGTAAAACTTTTGAGGTAGGCTCTAATTTGATTGTTTAGATCCTCACCTCTATATAAATTTTTTCCTTTAAAAAATAACCATTTTTATGAAGTTTCTATAACAAACTTGTTTGATTTGTTCTCTTTTGGCCAAAGTGGAGAAATCCAAATCTTTCATATTTTTAGTTTGATGATATCACAGGGCCACCCAAGCGGCTGTGGTGATTCAACTGTTCGGGTCAGCCAGTCCTACTGAAATCTACTTAAAAATGGTTGTTATTGGAGAAAAATGACCGAATTTTGACATATTTTTGGTGCAATATATGTCTAGTTATAGGCAAAAAATGAAGAAGATAAGGCACCATATTATATACATATATACACACACTTAAGCCTGAACTAAAAATGTACATGAGTATTTTTTTTGGGTAATTTAGTGGGAAAGACAAACCCCTACCCATTTTTTTCAAACAGATTAAGAATTAGCTTTTGGAAAGTGCCAGTCGGATTAGAAACCATAATATTTAAATAGGTATGGAGGCGCTACCACCACAACCGAGCCCTTTTCCCAAATGCACATGCATTCGATACTGAGGAAATAGGACCATAGTTCTTTCTCTCTTTCAATCAATCGATCTCACATACTTGTGGTAGCTGTTAGTAAGATAGGTGTACACCATCCTACTTTCTTCTAGATTAGGAACGTCGTAGAGTTTCACCCGGTGTTCACAAATGGGCCGGTCCAACTCGAAACAATTAAGCTGGAACCGGGCACTAACCGATCTGGTTTTGGTCGGTTTTGGTGGTTTGGTCGGGTATTTTAAAAAAATTCAAAAAGTAATTATATAAAATCCTAAAAAGTAAGGGATTTGTTTATAATATATTTTTTTTAATATTTTTTTTATTATTTTAGAAAAGCTTGATTTTTTCAAACACTGATTTCACCTTAATGAAATACTCATTTCTTTTAGATGAGCAAGATAACATGCTCTATTTTGGGTTTCAGCTGAGTTGGTAGGCCTCCCGATTCAGGAGCCATACCTTGAGGTGGAATTAAAGATAGAGATGGGGAGCATCAAGGATTACCCCAAGACGGGCATCAATTTTGCAAGTGCTGGGAGTGGACTTTTACAAGAAACCAGCAGAGACTGGGTAATACACAACCATTTCTTCTATCGGCTTCCTACATATTCCCCCCACAAAAAAGACTTGCATTCTAATTCTCTTCATTGATAAACAATGAAATGCCACATTCTCTCTCTCTCTCT